AAAAGCACCGTTCATGAAACGTTGTGGTGGGAATAATGGTGTCTGTGTACTAATACTGCCCAATTTATGGCATGCTGTGGCACACCAATCTATCTTCTTGGGGTCTGATGAGATAGAATGTATGAGGTAAAGGTAAAGGTTCCCCTTACACATCTGTGCTAGTTGTTCCCAACTCTAGGGGGCGGTGCTCATCTGTTTCAAAGCCGAAGAGCCAGTGCTGTTCAAAGACGTATCTGTGGTCATGTGGCCAGCATGACTAAACTTCAAAGGCACATGGAAGTTACCTTCCCATCAAAGGTGGTTCCTATTTTTTCTACTTGCATTTTTTTTACATGCATTCAAACTGCTAGGTTGGCAGAAGCTCACTCCATTATACAGCGCTAGGGATTCGAACCGCCAAACTGCGGGCCTTTCTAATCAACACTGAGCCACCTTAATATGTATAAGCCACCCAATCCAAACGAATTTTGGATGACATCCATTTTTTGTTTGTTTATTTATATTTGCCTAACTCAAATAACTCAAAGTGGCAAACGTATCACACAACTTCCTCCTCCTTATTTTCCCCACAACCACCACACCGTGAGTTGAGAGGGAGAGAGAGAGAGAGGCCCAGTCACCCAGTCCTTGCCCAAGGCGGAACTAGCCGTAAGTGTGAGCACCGGTCATAAATCTTTTTTTCCCAGCCATCTTAACTTTGAACATCACTAAACCAATAGATTCACGTCAAAGACTCCCTGTAACAAAATTCAGCTACTCAAGGAAACTGAATCATACTGATCTGAGAACAACCGTACCTAAAAAAAAAAAGATCAGGAGTTATAAGGGCAAACTCCCCCCCCCTCTCATACGCAAAGAAGGGGGGAATCAGCACTCGTGATATGCATATATGTAGCAATTCAAACATCCCAAGGGGAAGAGACAGAGAAACTGTGCTTTCGACGGTTACTCTTTTCTGTTTCTTGCGGTTGTGAGTTTCGGTTTGCAAGTCTCTGCGGCTAGGGAACCTCTCTCCCCCTCCCCCCACTCCTTTCTCTTCCTCCGTTCGTGCAGCTGCAAGAAAGCCGATCTGCAGGGAGCTTGCAAAATTCACTTTCCAACCGAAAGGCCGAGGAGCAGAATCGCCGCACGAGCTCCCCCTCCTCCTTCCCCGCCTCGAAGCAAGCGCCGCGTGCGTGGCCGGCCTCACGATGACATCAGCCCAAGAGGCCGCGCGCTGTTGTATGCAGTTTACGGGGCCGGTCGCCTCGGAGACGGGGCCTGCCAAGAGAGACGGAGAAGAAGAAAAAGAGTGGGGGGAGGAGGACGGGGAGGAGGAGGCGGCGGCGGCGGCTGGACGCAGTTCCACATACGCTCCACCCCTTCATGCAAAACAGCTATCCCAGACGTCATCTGCAGCCAATGGGAAGCGGTTACGGTGAGCTCATCGGGCCGGCGGAAACTATAAAGGGACCTCCCCGAGGAAGGCGAGCGTCTTGAATCCGCGCGGGGAGGAAGGTGGCGAGTGTCGGCTCTCGGTGGCGTCGTCTAACAAAGCGCCGTCCGGGAAGAAACCTGACGCTCCTCCTCTCACGTCGGGCGCGCAACTGGGGGCCCGTCCCACATTCCCCGAGCGCTGCGCTGCGGAGACCATAGGCGGCTACCTCCCCTCCGCGGCCTGCGGGGGGGAAGAGGATGGAAATACCTTTCTACCATGACGATGTGTTGATCGTTCTGGCGGCCTCGACGACAGCGCCTTCCTCTCGAAGAAGCAGCGACTTCCAGCAGCCTTTTTTCGACGGCACCATGATGAAAAAAGACGGCTTGGCCTTGGCCCTGAGCGATCAGGTGGTGTCAGGCCTGAAGGCGCCCTCCGGCCATGCCGCCCCTTCCGCGCAGCACCAGCACCAGCCGCCGCCGCCGCCAGGGGAAAACCAGACGCTTCTGACTTCCCCGGATCTGGGCCTTCTTAAGTTGGCCTCGCCGGAGCTGGAGCGTCTGATCATCCAGTCGAACGGCTTGGTGACGACGACGCCGACCAGCGGCGGCACCCAGTTCCACTTTCCCAAAGCCGGCGGCGGAGGCGCCCCCGACGAGCAGGAGTTCGCTGCCGGCTTCGTGAAAGCCTTGGAGGACCTGCACAACCAGAACCAGCTGGGGAGCGCGGGCCCGGTCGTCGGGGAGCTGCCGCCCACGGCCAGCCTGGCCCAGCAGCAGCAGCCGCAGCCACCGCCCGTGGAGCCTCCGGTCTACGCCAACCTGAGCACGTTCTCCGGCGCGGCCGCCTTTTCGTCCGAGGCGGCTTACCAGGCTCACCCTCGGTTGCAGCCGCCGCCGCCGCTCAAGGACGAGCCTCAGATCGTGCCGGAGGTGGCGAGCTTCGGCGACAGCCCGCCGCTGTCGCCCATCGACATGGACACGCAGGAGCGCATCAAGGCCGAGCGCAAGCGGCTGCGCAACCGCATCGCGGCCTCCAAGTGTCGGCGGCGGAAGCTGGAGCGCATCTCCCGCCTGGAAGAGAAAGTCAAGAGCCTCAAGAACCAGAACACCGAGCTGGCCTCGACGGCCAACCTCCTCCGGGAGCAGGTGGCGCAGCTCAAGCAGAAAGTGCTCAGCCACGTCAACAGCGGCTGCCAGCTCCTACCGCAGCAGCAGCAGCAGCCCCACCAGGTCCCGGCCTACTGAAGGGCCCCTCGGCAGGGAAAGGAGTGCGCTCCGGCCACTCGGACACCCGAGGCCCTCCGCCGACGACCCGCCAGAGGGAGGCACACACACCGCCGTCCTCGGCAGGCGCGCTCTCCGTGCTTGGGGAGGCGTAGCGAACCGAGGAGACGCGTGGGAACACCCCCCCCTCCCCCGCGCCCTTTTGCTTCCACCCCGAAGTGCAACCTGCGAACTGCCGCTTCGAGGGGAATGTGCCCCGGTGCCTCTCGCGGGCTTCTCTCTCCACCTCCCTTCCGCTCCGGCACTCTCACATTGGACAGGAACTTCATGCGAGTTCGAGGGAAGGGAAAAGAAGGACGCTCCGGGAAGCCTTTTCACGGCCCTCCCAAGCTGGGCGCAGCAGCCTATATGGACGCAGGCCTAGTATCGCTCCTAGGACTTCCTGGGCTACGACGGGAAGAAAGAATCGGGGTCTGAAAGGGGGCGGGGCATCGCTAGTCTTGTGCCTTTGAACTCTGGATACCCTTCCTTTATGGGAATTGTTTTTTTTTAAGTGACAGGATCTCCGAGGTGGAGTGGTTGGAGAGCCTAGACTGGCTCCTCCCAAGCTAGCCACAGATCTCAGTCTTTGGGATTTGCCATAGACTTTGGACTGAACTTTGCCAGACAGGCTTCAAGTTCTCTCTTTCCTCTTCCCATGGCAGCATTTCCTTTTTCTCTCCCTTACCATATTTATGTTAATATTGGCTCCTACTCATCTCTTTGTTTTGAAGAGCGGGATTATTATGTCCCTTCTCTCTCTTTTTCCCTCTCCCTCCCTCCCTCCCTTGATATAGCATCACATTCCACAGTGCAGTAAAATCCTGTGCAGGAGATGAAAACAAATACATGTCTTGCCTGTTTTTTGGGGGGGATGGGTGGGGTTCACTTTGGGCTCTGACTCCTTTGAGGCAGCTGATCCCCAAAATGTGTGTAGTGAGTGCCCTCTGGTGCATGTCTGAGGAACGGGGCTGTTTTGGGCAGGTTCCCCCCCCCCAGTTTGTATTGAAATTCTGGTAGACTAGGAATTTTGGGATTAATAGTCCCAATTGATCCGCAGGACACAGGGGTTGCTGGGGGGGGAGGGGGGCATTCATGGCTACTTTGTGTTGGTTACAGGGTTTAGTCACTTATAATCTTGTAAACGCACACCCGTCATTCCAAGTTACTTGTTTCTGTTAATTCTGAGTATCTTTTAACTTACGTTAATGTTTGGGGAGGTGTGGGAGGTTAGCTGCTGGGAAAAAAAAAGGAAAGTTAGATTTCCCTGAGGTTTTTAGCAGGATATGGTATCTTAAGTGAAAACAGCAGTATCAGCTCTCATGAGGATGAATGAAAGTTCCCAGAAATCCACCAGCAGGGCCAATTAGGGAAACTGAGTGCTTTAATTCAGCAATGCTGGAGTTCCCTGCTTCTGTAGATGGCCTTCCAAAATGAATGGATAGGTACTATTTTGCTTAATTTGATTTTAAAAAAACATCTGTTTAAAAATTAGTAGCTCTCCAGATGTTGCTGGATTTCAGTTCTTTGTCATAAAATATGACAGGAGGCAATTTATAAAGTATTCCAGATTCTTAGCTCTTAATGTGCATTAGAAAAGAATAAGTGATTCCATCAGTCCTGCATTAGGAAGAGCCAAAACTATTGCAACTGCCTGTCTTTCAGCAGAGAAATGGCTACTGGAAAGGGACATTAATGAGTAGTTGTGAAAAACATCTAAATATTTTGCCTTGTTCTGATAGATAGTTGAAATATTTGAAGAGAATCTGAGATCGCACCTAAGCCAATCTAGACAGCATTTCTCTTTCATGGGCTGCGCATGAGATACATTTAGGAAGACCACAAGTAAAGAAGGTTCAAGGCAACCTTTTTCCATTCTTGCTCCCATGCACTTGGTGCTGAGAGATAGATTGTTGTGCTTGGAGAAGCAACCAGACCTAATTGCTGGTAGCTATTGATATTCCTGTCCTCTAGGCCAGTAGTCCCCAACCCCTGGTCTGTGGACTAGCATCAGGCAACAGCATGCCGGAAAAGGCTGCACAAGCAAGTGAAGCCACATCTGTGGGATGCAGGCAGCATGCAAAATCACACTCCCTCTGNAGGTGTTGTTGTTGTTGTTATTATTATTATCTCTTTTATTCATTAAACATGAAACTGAAGTCAACTGAACATTTAAAAATGTATCACAAATATCACTGACTAGCACTGATGGTAGATATGGGTTGCTGCCAGCATCCTAGGTATCAATCATCTATCAACCAAGTATCTTATAACCAAGTATGAGACTTTTGTGCTAAACGTCTGGTTACCTGAATAGGTGTTGTTGTTGTTATTATTATTATTATTATTATATAACAATTATCACATTAACCAGGAGACCACAATACTATTGCAGAGTAGTAGTTTGGCTGACAAGGAACCAGCCCTGCTGTAGAAAATGCTTGTGCACTTCCCATGACGCACCACAACAGGATGAGCTGGCTTCGTACCAGATAGGAAGACAAGCAGCTCTTCCTGCAGCATCATCCAAGGTTCCCTCCCTCCCCGGACCCACCTCGCCAACAAGTGCCACAACCGGGACAGGAATCTGACTGCCTGCACGGAGCACCAGCTCACCCCCGCTGTCTCCCTGAAGTTGTACCTATTTTATCTACTCACAATAGAACATGCTTTTGAACTGTTAGGTGGAGAGAAGCTGAGGCGAGTGACATGAACTCACTCCGATACACAATTCTAAGACTTGAACCACTGGAGCAGAGACTCTCTCCAGAGTCATTAAGTCACTGAGCCATTGCGCCCCTTCCTGAACAGGTTCTCACAAGAGATTAATTACCGATTTGAACACAACAAAACATGGGCCTATAATAAAATAGGAATATGCCTCTTGCTTTCTTTATATCAGTGCTGAGCACCTTGTTGTCAACCTTAAATCTTCTAGGAATGAGTCTTAAGACAAAACATATTAACTGCTTGAATACATTCACTAACATATTTTATATCTCTACATATTAATCTATTTTAAAATTATGTTTTAAAATTAAATCTTACCTGTTTTAAAAACTCTGCAGCATTAAAGAGTTCACTGCAGCCATATAAGACATGTTTACCTTGTTTTCCCTATGAAAAACATAATTTTATTAAGACATTGTTAATTACTTTAAACTAAAAGGGAATAAGATACAATATCAATTCAGCAACTTCAGCAAACAGGCTATTGAAGAACCACAGTGCATATACAATTTGTAATTTCATTTGTTTTAGTTACAACAAGTAATAAGCCATTGTTAATGGGGGAGGGGATTAAGTTAATGTATCTATGTAAAAGAAATAGGTCTACTTGTTATATGCCATGATGCGAACCTATGGCACGCGTGCCACAGGTGGCACACGGAGCCATTTGTTAGGGACGCAAGGTACTGCCCTGTCAGCTGGCCAGCTAACATGCGTGCACTGGCCAGCTAACTTTGGCCTTCTTTTGAGGCGTCTCCGGAGCGAAAAACCGGCCCTACAGGGAAACCGGAAGTTCAAAAACAGACTTCCAGTTTAGCCATAGGGCAGTTTTTTGCCCTCTGGAGCTTTCAGGAGGGTTCCCGGAAGGCTCTGGAGGGCAAAAACTGGCCCTATGGACAAACTAGAAGTCACTTCTGGTTTGCTCATAGGGCTGTTTTTGCCCTCCGGAGCCTTCCGGGAACCCTCCTGAAGCTGAAAAACAGCCCTACGGACAAACCGGAAGTTACAATTCCTGAACTCCAGGTTTGTCGATAGGTCCATTTTTCGCCCTCTGGAGCCTTTAGGGACGCTCCTAAGGCCTCTGGAGGGCATCCGGGAGGGGGGGAGGAGGCTCTTTTCACCCTCCCCAGACTCCTAGAAAGCCTCTCATTCACCATCATTGTTATATGGCATATAGCTCATCACATCATCCACAGTACTATCAGACAACACATGGACAATATAAAATGTAAAGCAGAAATAAATGAGATGTCTAGAAACTTATAATTCATTAAACACTTGGGTAAATGAAGAGGTAAGTTCTAGCAATGAGTAATATGTTTTCAGAGGGGAATGAATAGTGGAATGCTTTGGGAAATTTTCTGAGCCTATTGAATTTAATTTTAGTTAGAACTGTTAAATGCAAAAACATTAAAAACCATTAAAGAGTGGCTGAATGTGAAGTTTATGCTAGGAGTTGGAATTTAAAAATGAACACTAATATAACAAAGTCTTTGGTGTCTTTGATAATACCTCCCCCTGAGAGCCTGTAGTTACTATACGGTTTATATTATCAACACAATTGCATCAATACAACACAATTATTACATATATTATGAAATTATAAGATGGTTATTATCAACAGTACAATTCATAAAAACCATCATGAACATTACATTATCTTTATAAAAATGATAATGAAAACAAACAGGACATTAATTAAATACAGAAATTGGAAAGAAAAACTAAAGGTAATGACAAAAATCAGAGGTATCATAAAATGTTAAAGGTCTATTTTACAATAAAAGCTTTGATGATATGCTGTATTTTATAAATATATAGGAAAAATAACTGTTATGCATAGTATAGAAATATTAAAGAGGCTTGAAGGAGAAAAAAAGCAATTTTATAGTAGAATTTATTTTAATTTGCTTAATATTTTACCTTTGATATACAATAAGGGTGGCTAAAGCAAGCAATGATAATTCTACAGGNCTTGCAGAGTGCTCCAGGGGCGGGGACGACACAAAAAATAACCTGTTTTTCACAAAAACGGCCCCGTTTTATGTCAGAAAAACTGCATGCATAGCCTTATGGAGGCTTATAGAGTGCTGCTGGGGACTGGGCAAAAAACGGCCCATTTTTTGCTTATTTCTGCCCTCAGCCCCCAGCTGCTCTCTGAAAGCCTTCATAAGGCTATGCACGGCCATTTAGGTGAAGGGGGCAGGGCTTCAGGAGGCAAAAAATGCTGTATTCGATGTATAAGATTTTCAGCCTCTTTTTTGAGGAAAAAAGGTGCGTCTTATACTCTGAAAAATACGGTAATAAGATTTACCCATTTGTTATTAGTGACAAATGTTACATTGAAAAATTAACATGAATTTAATATTCAATATCAAAGGCCCCTCTACCAGGCATGAAATCCTCTTAACTTTGCTATTGATTCGGAACCTTGTGCGCAGAGCATCCGTGATGACGTCTGGATGGGTGGGCGGAGCCTCCTGCCACCACCACTACCGTTCACCTGAACCAGGATGAACTGGCAGAATACCACCTCTGCTCCCCACCCTTAGAGATGCGACTTCCACCAATTCTTGGGAGGCGAAAGATAGGTTTAAGTTTCAAGTTAGAATGATAACACACACATGGATCTGTGTATCTGCTACTATTATTGAGAAACTTATTTGTTTTCTATTGAGATTTAATTGAATAAAAGTATTTCTATCTTCTCCTGTAATTAATCAGACTGTCACACTTTGGAACTGTTCTATCAATCAAAGCAATAAGTTTATTAGAAACAGAAGAACAGAATGTAGTTCTTGCTGCAGCTAAAGGATAGTCTTTGGTTACTAGAATAATTTTGACATCTGGTGCTTCTCAGAAACCTAGGACACTGAGTATTTTTGTCACTGGCTGCTGACTTGTTTTGTGTAGCACCAGTGTTGTTGGTATTTGTACGGATGAATCCTTGCTCGTTTTGCTGCAAGGACAAAATAATATTGTAATGGGATTTAAAACTCATGCCAGTATGGATGAATAGACTATAAAATCTGGCAATTTGGTGAAAAGAATGATATTTTGGGGAGTGCAGCACCTAAAATTTACATAATCAACAGAGATATGGCCATATGCTAAGGGAAAGAAAGAACAAGATATAATTTACCTGGAGGAACAGAAAATAATTTGCTGGCACCAAATCTGTAAATAACACCCTTCATTTAAAATAATGTAGCAGTTATAGAATTAATGCAACTTTTACAAGAAAATTTTAGTTTCATAATTATGGAAATGTTTTATTTCTTAGAAAGTTGCTTTTCTACCGTCTGTATGGATTAATTATCAAATGAAAGGCAGATTTGTACTCTTTCTCAGTTTAGCAACATTACATAAAAAATATGAAGGAAACTACTGTTTCTTTGATTCATTTATATGCCCTACTGATCATCACCTAATAACGTCAATGATCTGATGTGCATCTTGTTTTTCCCGATAGAAAAAACTTCCCCGTTTTCTGCATGTTTTAGCCAAATATAAATTATTAGGCCTTTTTTCAATGTTTCTATCCACCATAGATTTTAGAATGGCATGTCTGAGGATTATTAGGAAGAATCCCATCCAGAAATTTGCCAAACCTGTCAAATTTAACGTCATAAATGGAAGCAGTTCAAGAATTCTCATCTGTTCAGGACTAAGATGGAGAGAATCCATTGCAACTCTTTGCAGCAGCATTCTATAGTTGTTTCCAGTTTGCATCTTTCAAAGTGATTTTTGGAAATAGAACTTTTGATAATTATTAAATTCCCTAAATTTCAAATACACAGCACATTGCGTCATCAAAATGTTTGCTAAGATACTTTTTCCAACCTCCAAAGAATTAAGAGTTATGTAACCAAAGCAGTTTTATCCACTCTCCCACCTTCCTTCTCTTGCCCTCTTAGCCTGGAAACAAAGTTGGATGAAATGATGGTGTAGTAAAGGACTCTCCCCCCCCCCCGCCGCCAATGCAGCATAAGATTTCCACATTTCTATTTTTCATGCTGGAGGAAGGGCAACCTAATTCTGATGTACAGACAGCACAATCCTAATCATAATTTTATAATTCAAGGAGAAACAATCAAATCTATGACTAGATGAGAGAAATGCTGTAAAGATGGGAACCAACTGCTTACATATGAGTTCATCATTTCAAGATTAAAAGAATTAATTCAATCAACAAAAAAATGAAATATTATGTTACTATGGACAATTTCTATTTGGAGATGGACAGACCATATATAAAACACACCAAACATGATGAGTTATGCTACTAATCATTAGGCATACAATTTATGCCTTGTAAAATCAGAAAAAAAGATAATGACATAAATTTGAACTACATAATAATGATAGCTAGTCAGAGCAATCACAATCTCATTCGGTTATGAAATCTATTTGCCTGTTCTACAATAGTGAAATAAAATGATCTGCCGATATCAAAAGCTTTGGGACAATGTGGGTAGAATCTGAGCCAAAAAGCACTTTGAATATAATATATAAAAAGTAAATAAAGTTGGGTGGCCTGTAAATTGCACAAACAAACAAACCTTTGCCCAAATTACTGGATACATTTAGCTAGTAGAAATTTGGCTAAAGTAAATTAATTTTAGGTGTATGTGCTTTCTATTAATGTAAATAAGCTAAATTAAAAATATATTTGAAATATATTTAGTGCATTTATGCCCAAGTCTGAAGTTGGGAAAGTCCCTATTAATAGTTAAGAAAAAAAATTCCCCCCCAAAAGACACTCCAAATGTACATTCCAAATGTAACTGCCTGCAAATGAACACAAGAAACAGGCACAGATAGATAAGCATAATTCAAGTTTGGTAATTTATTTGAAGTATATGTTTTGCATGTGGAATGCATTATATATAAGTACAGAGTATTATTTCATAAAAATTACAAATAAATGAGTTGAAATGTAAATATATGCACAGGTAAAGATGTTATCAGCAACCATGATCTCTTCTCAAATGTCGTCAAAATGTTCCTTTTCTGTCCTATTTCTGTCCAAGTTGGGAAAGCTAAATATAAGCAAAAAGAATAAAATGAATTTGCTGATTACTTTCTAACACAAAAAGGACATTTGACTAAACTCCAATGCTTGATTATTACTAAAAAAGGAACAAACAGAAATGATTAAAATTAAAGAAAAATGATTTTTCTCATGGTTAAAGAGAAGTACTTACACAAAACATAAGTTTCCATTTAATTCATTTATTCAATGGCACATCTAGGCAGCAAAATCTGTTCTACATTTTCCTGCTCTAGTAATTTATCCCAATCTGACACTTTCTATTTATTCTACCAGGTCAAACTACCTGGGACAAATCCTTATTTCTAGGACTTATCAGGGATATACTGCATCAATGCATACACTCTGTAATAAATAGGATTCTCTCAAATCCTATGAGATGCCTCTTGATTATAGGTAAAAACCCACACAAGAAAGGGCTGCTCCACTGAACAATTAAATAGTATATGGAAAAATTATACCACATTTTATGTGTTTGCAAATGAATTTTGAATCTTCATATAAATGAATCACTGTGCCCTGATACTACTCTATGCAGATTTAGTATACACCAAAAATAACAGGTTCAGCAATATTAGGCAAATTGAACAATTAAACATTTTGGGCACCAGGAGAAAAAAATATTGTACTTCTGTTACTGATTTATTTGTACTACATGTAAGGTCACTTTGACAAATTCATCAGAATTAAGATTTAGAAATACTAAGGTGCTTCACTTTGTCAAGGACTTTCCCTATTGCACTGAACGCACACAGACTTCTATTTGCACTAAAAGCAAATAGAAGCAGTATGAGACTTTTGTGCTAAATGCCTGGTTACCTGAATAGGTGTTGTTGTTGTTGTTATTATTATTATCTCTTTTATTCATTAAACATGAAACTGAAGTCAACTGAACATTTAAAAATGTATCACAAATATCACTGACTAGCACTGATGGTAGATATGGGTTGCTGCCAGCATCCTAGGTATCAATCATCTATCAACCAAGTATCTTATAACCAAGTATGAGACTTTTGTGCTAAACGTCTGGTTACCTGAATAGGTGTTGTTGTTGTTGTTA